TAGGGTTCTTCAAGAAAACGCCTTTTTAAAAGGCCGGCAACGCATCTGTAATTCCCCTGGTGTTGCATTTGTTCATGGGCGGCGGTAGTCACTTGGCATCAGGTGAGCCGCATGCTCGTTTGTCCCCCCTCCTTTAAAAAAAAGACAAACGGACGGACAAAAATAGTAGGTAGTTAAACTAACCAGAGCTCGCTGTATGTTATGAGTTTTCTCATACAGCCAGCAGTAAAGGACCATGTCACAGGCCCATATATCTACACTAGCACTGGTCTCGTAGCTAGTCTAAACACTTTATTACAATTAAAACCTATCAAAAACCCATTGCTGATTACATGTGTCCCCCATATATTGCGTTATAGTCAGGATATTTGTCATAGTTTTCAAACTTGGCGAGGGGTTCAGCAATCACAGTTTATAATTTTTATTTAGCTGTTATTAGGAAGATGCTGCTGCCCATATCCTGGTTCTTTTTCCTACTGTTGCCTCTAACGATATCTACGGGTTGATGTCGGGTTAATGTTCTAACGGTGTTAAAAATATATTATGTATACCTTGTTGAATTTGTATCTAGTCTCTCCTAAAACACATATTAGCGTTACCCACGGGATTAGATGTGAAACCCACATTAGAGCGGGCTTTAGCTTTCCGAGCGAGACATTTTGAGACTTTTCACTAAATAAACCAGTGCTTGACGACAACTCCACTTGATAACATAACAATAGAAGTAGCCCTAGTTTGTGACCCAGGTTGGCTATGATAATAGATTAATTAGTAGGTCACAGTGCCGCACGAACACGTGGCTCTCTTGACACTGACGTCCCGGCCATCATCCAAAACGTCCTGCTCTAAAGACGCCACTGTCTTCTATGCCAATACCGCATGGTGTATATACATTATCTCTTCTATTTACAGGAGGCTAAACGAGCAATCGCATTCTACAGAGGCACGTCCATCAATTCTAATCTGGTTGAAGAAGAATTGAAAACGCTTCGAAGGGCGCTTAATCCGGATTTGGGTGGTGGGTATCATAGAAAAATAGTCGTTGTTCTTGAAAATATCAATAAGTACACAGATTCCACATTTGGACGTAATCCTTCCACATCGCTAACCGATTTTTTAGGTCTTAATAGCAAATCAAGGTTATGGAGAATAGAAAATTGTAACGAAACCCTTCTAATATATATAATTTAATAAATAAAATTGGCGTTCTGTTAAAATATAAAAAAAATATTAAATAATATATATTTACGTGACCAGGTGAATAAATATAGAGCTTTAGTTTTAGGCTATTTGTTATATGGCGTGATTGTCTTACTTAAGATTCTTATTTACGTTGTGTTTTTTAATTAAATTAGTTATTTTAGGTGTCCCTCGGAAGAATTAATATCCACTAAAGCCTTGAAAAAAGAAATACAGGCTCTTATTAAGTTACAGAACCCCGTTCACGAGGAAAGGGCTCAAAAAGTTTAAAAAATATTAAACTTATTTCACTTTTATCAGGCTCACATAAGTTAATTTAACATAACATTCATATAACATAAACACTCAAGCCTGTCACCCAGAGGGGTAGGCAGAGACTACGGACTTCCATTTGGCGCGATCCTGACACACCTCTCTCGCCTCCTTTACATATCTACACATACTCGCTCGTCGATTAAGGGTACACCTAATCTGCCCCATTTTTAATGTATCGCCGATTTGGTCGATAAACCTTCGTCTAGGGCGTCAACTCCCGACCCTGCCGTTCACTTCTGCAACATAAATTTGCATTGTCACTCTTTCCTCGTTCATTCTTTCTACATGAACAAACCACCGAAGCATTCCTTTCTTAATCCTTGTCACAACGTCATCTCGCAAACCACACTTTTCTCTTATCACACTATTTCTCACCCTGTCATTCAGATTCAGCCCTAGCATACTCTTTAAGGACCGCATTTCTACAGCATTTATTCTACTCCCATGCTTCTTCTGCCAAACCCAACTTTCACTACCATACATTAAAGTAGGGACTAACACAGCATTATGAATTGCCATACGTGCCGTATTTGACACATTCTGACTCCTCATAATAGCGTGTAGAGCCCCATTCACTCTCTCTACCATCCCTGCTAAATAAACATCCCAAATATACAAACTCATCCACTTGCTCAATCAAGTCCCCTTCTATTCTTATTTCACATAAAGTTTTACTTTCTTCTCTTTCAAAAACCATCACTTTCGTCTTACTTGCGTTCACCTTTATACACATTTCTTTCAATGACCATTTCATTAAAGTAACCATCATTTGCAACTCGGCCGCCGACGATGCAAATATGGCTTGATCATCATCATTCCATCCACCCATTCTCAACCCACATTTTTCAACTTTCAAATTTTGCAAACAACTGTCCATAAATAGATTAAACAGCCACGGGGAAGCTAAACAGCTCTATCTGACACCTTTTTGAATGCCAAACCAGTCCGAGTAGACCCCGTTGATCCTGACACAAGCACTAGAGTCCCTATAAAGAGACCTTAATGCCTGTATCAAGCCAGCGCTCAACCCAAATGAGTTCAGTGTTTGCTATAACACATTCCTGTCCACTCTGTTATAAGCCTTTTCCAAGTCCATGAACGCATAAAAAACTTTCTGGTTTTTGGTCAAAACTTCTCCGCTATCATGCGCATGGAAAATACTTGATCCGTACACCTCATCCCCTTTCTAAATCTAGCTTGTACATCCCACATTTTTCCATCAGTTTCTTCCATAACTCTTTCAATTAACACCTTAGCATACAGTTTACCCACAAAAACCCACAAAAAAAAAACCCAGCAAGCTGATACCACGGTAGTTTTTACAGTCCTGCTGCGAGCCCTTTCCCTTATATATTGGGACTAAAACGGCTTTACACCAGTCTTACGGTAACCACATCAGTTCCCAACATAAATTAAATAAGGTGCACAGCAGGCCTGCAACCACACCCTCTCCAGCCCATAGCATTTCGAGTGATATTCTATCATATCCGGCTGCCTTACCTGCTTTCATGCTTTTCATTGATTTTATTATTTCATCTACACTTATATCCCTACCTCTCTCCACTTCCTCCGGAATTTCTATTGCACTTACTTCAGACGATTCTTCACTCTTAAACACGCTTTCAAAGTATTCCTTCCATCTCTTTAAATTCGAAACTTCATCATTCAGCATGCAGCCATTCCCGTTTCGTATAGCATTTATTCTAGGCTGTTTTGAATTTCCCCTGGCAGTTCTTACGAGCTTCAAGAACATTTTAATATTTGCCTGGAAGTTATCAGATATCTTTCTATCATTCTTATCTAACCTTTCTTGCTTTTTCCTTTCAACAACTTCTTTTACTCTCTTATTTATACGTTTAAAGTCTGCCTTTTTTCTTTCAATCTCATCATTCATACCGCCAGAATTACCAGCTTTAGTTGCTAGTAAATCTAGCCATGCTCTCTTCTTTGCTTCAACTTCCATCCGTACCTCATCATCCCACCACAACGTATTACTTTTCCTTTCATTCATTATTTTACTTACACCACATACTTCGGTGGCTGCATCCACCAAAACTTTCTTAATATTATTCCATTCATTCTTCAAGTCTAAATCATTCATACATAATTCATTCAACCCACTTATATTTTCCCTCAGTCTGCATTTATATTTCTCTTTCACACCTTCATCTTGTAACCTCTCTATTCTTATACGCTGTAACGCAGTGGTAGGCACAGATGTCCGATACCGCCAACGTCTGAATAGACCATTAATTCGGCATAAGACCAAGTAATGATCCGTCCTTACCTTGGACCCCCGGTAAACCCTTGTATCTACCACTGCGCTCCTCATTCTTTCATCCACAATTATGAAATCTGACATGCTTCTATCATCCCCCCTTTCCCATGTATACATGTGAATCCCCTTATGGCGAAAGAAAGTGTTCGCCACAAAAATATTCTTTTCCACACATAAGGTGAGAAGGTCACCATTCTCATTTATTCTTTCATCGCCAAACGTTCCTAATATTCTTTCATAACTAGACCTCTTTACCCCAACCCTTCCATTAAAATCTCCTAACATAATAATATTTTCATTTTCATTACATTTCGTCAGCACCACCCATACCATGTCCCAAAACTGCTCTCGAATATAAGTGGGCTTAGACATATCTGGGGCGTACACTCCAAGCATGAACAACTTCTTTAAGCCCACTTTCATTCGTATCCACAGCAGCCTTGGGCTTACACATTCATACTGTTTCACACATTGACTCATTCTTTCTGAAAGGATGACACCGACTCCCTGGCATGCCCGCTCGGTATCGTCTGCTCCAGACCCGTAAGCGGTATACATGCCATGTGCAGTGACATCTCTTCCCTTTCGTTTCGTCTCGTTTACACATAACACATCTATTCCTCTATCATTCATAATTTCGCATACTTCATCCATCTTATTATTCATTGCTCCACATACATTCAGCGTAGCCAGACGGGCCTCCGCAATCCACTTTTCGCCCCTCCGGGAGACAGGACGTGACGGGTGGCAAAACTCGTCGCCGGTTTTTCTTCCGGAGATTCTTCGCACCCCTGCCCCATTAAACGGGCGCCGGGAACTCGGGGCCATATCTTTTTCTTCTTGCCTCATGGTGCGAACTAAGTGGTGGTAGATTTTACGCCGCTACCATACGGTGAGGAGCCGAGTCTATCCTATCGGCTTTGTCGGCTTTGTTGCTCGTTTAGCACCACCAGGGGGACACGTGTAGGTTGGGCCTAGGATAAGGTGGTCGAAGCCTACGGACGCGAGCTACTCATCCCCCAAGTTAATTTTTTATTAATTATTCCTTTCTCGCTTGGACAAGTCTCATTATATTTATATAAAACTACCTTATACTGGGTGGCCCAGAAAGACCGAAGTGGTGTGAATTGCTTATAACTTTTTATTTAAGAGATATTTTTTTAATTTTTTTTTTAAATACATTAAATTTATGGGGAATATTTTTGGATTAGTTATTAAAAATGATATCCCGCAAGTGGTGGCCATATTCTGCTTCGCACAAATGTGCTCTTTCCAACACATTTTCCATGACCTTTCGCAAAACTTCCGGTGGTATGTTGTTAATTTCTTCTCGAATATTGGTTTTTAACTCCTCAATAGTCCTAGGCTTATTAACATAAACTTTTCCTTTTAAATAGCCCCAAAGAAAACAGTCTGGAGCGGTTAAATCCGGGGAACGCGGAGGCCAATTAAAATTGCTGTTACGAGAAATTATTCTTTCACCAAAGATGTCGCGTAAAAGAGTCATTGTGGCCCTCGCAGTGTGCGCTGTGGCTCCATCCTGTTGGAACCATATTTGCGGATGGTTTTCCACGGCTGGCCTTACAAAATTTTGCAACATGGCCCGATATCGATCACCATTGACGGAAATTGCGACACCTTGTTCATTTTCAAAAAAAAATGGGCCAATGATCCTTTCTGAAGAAACACCGCACCAAACGGTACACTTAACTGGGTGCAATTGTCGTTGATGAAGTACTCTCGGGTTTTCCGTAGCCCATATCCTACAGTTTTGCTTGTTAACGAACCCATTTAATTGAAAATGGGCTTCGTCACTCATTATTAAGTTATGAATAAAATTTGGATTCTCTTGTGCTTTTTGCTGGAAATAAATTGCATAGTCAAGTCGTTGCTGGTAATCTGTTGGTTTCAATTCTTGGACAAGTTGAATTTTGTATGGAAACAATCCTATGGTGTGCAAAATTCGCTGCAGCGACGTTCTTGAGAGGCCCAGTTGTGACGAACGTCTCCTGGTTGATGTTTCTGGATCCTCCCGAATACTCTCCTGTACCACTTGAATATTGTCAGCCGTGTGGACAGTTCGGTGTCTGCCGGGACCAGGAAGGTTCCTTACTGCTCCTTGTTCTCGAAAATTTGCAACCAGACGGTTTATTGTTGACTGAGAGGGTGCAACCCGCACATTAAATTGACGACGGTATGCACGCTGAGTCAACACAATGGACCGTTGATTTGAAAAGTAAATTTCAACAATTTGGGCACGTTGTTCAATTGTGTATTGCTCCATTATAAATTATCCAAGTCTTCTTTACAAAATACTGAAAAGAAAAGAAAAAAAAAATTATAATAAAAAAGTTATAAGGAATTCACACCACTTCGGTCTTTCTGGGCCACCTCGTACAAGGGCTACGCTCTCCCACATTTAAAAAAAATGTGGGGGAGGCACACAGCTCTACACAAGCCAACGCCATGTGCGGTTAGAGCCAATCAAAACAACGTACTTCCCCCAAAGGGTGGATAGTTAATTTATTTATTTCTTTATTTAAACTTTATTTTACACCTTAATAGAAGGATTTCAAACGGCGGACTTAATGCCTTTTGGCATTTTCTCTTAGTCAACTCGGATATAAACCAAAGGGTGGATAGCTTTAGTGCTCTTTTAACTTAACTTTATGACGTTCATTGGTTTGGATATGGTTGCTTCGATATGGTTTAGAGATTGTATTTTGTATTTTATATGACTTTTTTATACTTCGACTTCTCATGTGGTCCCATATAAATTGATCAAGGTCTGAGCAAGAGTTTTTGAGTCCGTACCGTACAAGTTGTACAAAATTTTTAATTTTTAATTATTTAAATTTAACTAAGCAAAGGGCTGAAACTCCTCTTTTTTTTGAAGTCGATAAATATAAATTAATAATTAATTTACATTAACAGATGCTACGCCTGAAGAAGAGAAACTAAATTCCGACCTAAAGGAAAACCCTAAACTTTCCTGGTGGCAATATTTAAGTAAGTACACGTAAAAATTTCCTCGTAATAATAACTACTCCTTGGTTGGATATGTACAAAATATTGCAGTAGTAATATAATTTTAAAAGGGATAAACAAATTTTCTATCTGGTAACCTAATATTTACATGTAGATTACCTTGATGATTTCTTAATATGGTAAGCGTGAATGCTGATCGGGTGGTCCGGTGTTCGAATCACGGGTCGGATCAAAATCAGTTATTGGGTTTTCTGTTAAGATACTCTCAGTAGCAGCTTGCTCTTAAATACGGTCTCGAAGATGATCAGTGAGTCACGTAGGCATGTCATCTTTGGTTTTTCGGCGCTTTCTAACTCTGAGCACAGACACAACCTAGTCTCGAGGATCGGAAACTGCCTTGTTATAAGCACTTGCTGGAAGCCGTGCTCGAAAATGACCGCGCTAGACTCTACTGGGACCGGGCCGCAGATAGGACTATTCTTGCGAATAATCGTGATATGGGTACAGTCTAAATTATTTTTGGTTGACATTAACATTCTATTTGACGAGAGCCTCGTGAAAGCCGAAATAGATAAGCAAAGAAAATATCTGCATTCTGCACCTGGCTCTCGAGGTGACCGACATGTAACGTAGTCTGCCGAACAAAATCATTCCTGTAGTCGTTTCTGCGAGCGGGCTAATCTCGGTTAGCCGGTCGGGTTATCTGAGGATACTTTGACTCCGTGACGTACCGCTCCGGGCTCAAATGCAGAAGACGATGCTCCACCATAACGCCCGGATCGTCTGCCAGTTTTTTTCCTTTCTCTTAACCTTCGTCCGTTTGGTCTCCCTTGTCGAGGGTTTCTATCTGATTGGGTTATTATTTATTTATGTAATTCTCATTTATTGACTTTACTATTATAAATGTAACTTTATGTATACTACTACTATATAATTATTCAGCCCAATCAGATGATAAAAGTACTTTTATAACCCATAATAATAACAATCGCATCATCCGTCGGTTTCTTTCCCTTTCCCCTTAAGATACCATTCAGTAGCCGACCGCAGACAGCAGCAGACGACGTGTCGTCGTAACACTACTAGTTTCTATGTAGTTCTATGAAATATCGTACCTTCCGTAGCTAGCAACACGTCGTTTGCCGGAGCAGCAGACGACATGTCGCCCGACCGCAGATCAGTAGTGCCGCCAACAGCTGAGCGACATGTTGATTTTTCTAAAAAAAATAGTTTCACCGATTCCGTGGAAGAGAAACTGATAAACCAGGTGGTCCAATATCCCGCACTGTACGATGCATCTCACAATAATTATTTAAACAGTGTGACAAAAGGAATTTTTTTGAATAAATATAGGAAAGGAGTTAAATAAAAGCGGTAAATAGGTATATATATAAATATTATGTAAACATAAATAGAGTACCCACAAAACATTCGGAACAGATTGGAACACGTGCTGCTGCCGCCTGCAGTCGGGTTCGGAATCATGACCGCAGCGACATGTCGCGACGACACGTCGCCTGCTGTTGCTCTCTGCGGTCGGCTACGGAATGGTACCTTTAACCTTTTATCCATCTGTTTGGGTTCATTTTTATTGATGTGTTTTTTATTTATTTGTTTTGCCACATTTAATGTATGTTTAACATTTTCTTTTATGTCATTCAGATGAGAAATATTAATATTATATAAATTAAATATTATATTTATCACAAAATTGTGGTTTAACAAAGGTAAAATATATAGGTACAATATTTTTAAGACTATTTGTAGAAAGTCTGGTGTCTGAACTTGACAGATACCTGTGTTACGGATCACCACTTTATCGTATTGTTTGTGCCGAAATTTCCATGTTTGGCCTCGCTATTGGGTAAGTAGCGCTAGTAGTAGTAAATTACTACTACAAGTAGTAAAGTAGAGCTAACCCAGCCCGGAGAAGAAGGATCGAGGACCGTATCGCAAAGGCCGACAATTGCGTTTCCTGGGACAATCATCAGTTTGTCCTAGCTATATATAACGCTAAACGCTGATGGAGAGCATAGACAATCTGAAGCAGAGAATCGCTGCTTGGAAGACGCGGATTTAGCGATATGTCGCGAGAGGTCGACACGGTTCAACCAGAATCGTCTCTTTCAAAGTGACCAGAAGAGGCTCTATAAATCATTGGAGCAACCAATGGTACGTGGAATGGGCCCAGCACCGAATGAGGCCAACATTATTGCAATTTATTGCGACCTGTGATCCTCAAACAGAAGTTGTAGCGAGTCAGTTCAGCCCATTTATCATAACGCCTGAAATTACATCTGAAAATATTAAAGAACTACGTTTACCAACCCGCCTGCTAAGCATAGAACTATGGCAAAATTATGTAGGTAATATATGGGGAAGGCTGATATACAGCATTGTAGTTTGATGGGCTGTAATATATGAATGAATAAATAGAAACAAATATAATTCATGCCAGCTAACACATATTGTCCGCGCTCCGCTAAAAATGACAATTCAGCTGTATTATAATTATTGAATATGGGTGACAAGTGGGCACACAATCTACCTGATGGTAACAGGATGCTGTGGCCTATATACATATACATCAATCTTCGATTAAAATGCAGATACGTTGTGACCCCTGAGGACTAAGATGGAATGCCTCGTTACCAGTAAAAGTGTCTCCGTTTCTCAACACTCATCATACAATAACGCAGCATTATGGTTTTCAGTGGTATTATATGAGAGCGTGGTCTTACACCTAGCCAATTCGTTCGTGCTTTCATCATAATATAGCTGCAGCACGGCTCTACCACGTAAATTTATTTCTTCTTTAATTCCTTAACAGAAAAATCAAGGTCGACCCGACGTGCTCTCTTCATGATAGTAGTTATAGATACGGCGTCACTATTCCAAGGCCGGATGGTGCTGCAGGTATACGCGGAGCCTCTCTTCGCTGAGGCTGTGCCCTCAATGTCACCAAATATCTGCAGCGTGATCTTCACGATAGTGACCATTATGTCAAGTTTCATTGGCGCCTTCTTGGTTGAGCGGGCAGGTAGACGGGTAAGACTGGGACTGATGTCTAACTTTTTCCCCTATTTATTGACGCATTTATAAAATTAAAGGAGTAACAAACTACCAGACAGTTTTTGTTCAATGCTCTGGACCAAAGATATCTAGATTGATCATCAATTAAGAGTCAAAGTGCTGATTCGCTCCCACCCCGGAGGCCTGAGAAGAGGTGCCACATTACCATTAACAGGGTCTCTGGTTCTCTACACACACCATAAAAATCTCAGAAGCATAATGCTGCCATTTCACACTTGTACCCTCTGAGTGTTATAAGTTTTTGAGAGTATCTACACACTAGATATTGTTAGTTGTATTTATATCGAGTATTTAGTCAGTTGTATTTTAACAGGGTCTCTGGTTCTCTACACACATCATAAAAATCTCAGAAGCATAATGCTGCCATTTCACACTTGTACCCTCTGAGTGTTATAAGTTTTTGAGAGTATCTACACACTAGATATTGTCAGTTGTATTTATATCGAGTATTTTTATAAAAGCTGTACAGTACATGTCTGATTCTATTAACTATTTAGTAATCCTGAGAAAAATACAATGTGGAGGTCACGAAAACGTAAAACATATTTGTGCCTACGTAAAATGTTCTAGTGATTGTCAGTCATTTCATATGGCACATTTTCTTTAGAGTTTGGAACGTTTCAGATAGGGCAAAATAAAAAATAATTTATAATAAAAATAATGAACAGGCTGCAAGGTTCAACTGATATTGTTTCTTGTAAACACAATTGTAAAATTGCTGTTCTCATTTTTATCAATATTTACATAATTTACATTTTCTCATTTACATAATTGATGAAACGTAGTCAAGATCACTTCATATAAAATATATTTAATTAAATTGGCACCTGGCTTATTTGGCTTTCTACTTACAACTCGGCGGAAATTTGAAAAGAAAGATATTGTCTGTTCTTAACTCTGTTGCGTACACTATTTTTCACAGGAGTATTGTTTACAACTGGTGTGGTTTTCAAAAGCGTGATTAAGTGTCAGCTGTATATCGTCAATTAGATCCTGAACTTTTTTGACATTTACTTTTGTTTCTTTAAGTTATATCTCGTAACATTTTTAAAAACTGATGCAAACTCATTAGTTTATTATTTGTTATATTTTTTGTAACGTATTGGATATCTTGGATAAGTTTGTAATTTTTTTTTAATTTTATCACAAAATTTTCGCTATAAATTCTTACGTCTGTAGACAATGATACTCTCCTCTTAGTTT